TACACTCAGCACACACAGAACACACTCAGCACACACAAACAGTACACACTCAGCACACACATACAGTACACTCAGCACACACACACAGTACACTCTCAGCACACACACAGTCTACTATCAGCACACACACACAGTACACACTCAGAACACACACACAGTACACTCAGCACACACACACAGTACACTCTCAGCACACACACAGTCTACTCTCAGCACACACACACAGTACACACTCAGCACACACACACAGTACACACTCAGAACACACACAGTACACACTCAGCACACACACACAGCACACACTCAGCACACACACAGTCTACTCTCAGCACACACACGCAGTACACTCTTAGCACACACACACAGTACACTGTCAGCACACACACAGTCTACTCTCAGCACACACACACAGTACACTCTCAGCACACACACACAGTCTACTCTCAGCACACACACAGTACACACTCAGCACACACACAGTACACACACACAGCAGTACACACACAGCAGTACACACACAGCAGTACACACACACAGCAGTACACTCAAACACAGCAGTATTCTCACACAGCAGTACACACACACAGCAGTACACTCACCCACAGCAGTACACTCACACAGCAGCAGTACACACACAGCAGTACACTCACACAGCAGCACACACACAGCAGTACACTCACACAGCAGCAGTACACACACACAGCAGTATACACACAGCAGCAGTACACACACACAGCAGTACACACACACAGCAGTACACACACACGCACAGCAGTACACACACAGCAGCACACACAGAGCAGTACACACACACAGCAGTACACACACAGCAGTACACACAAAGCAGTACACACACAGCAGTACACTCACACTGCAGCACACACACAGTACACTTTCAGTACACACACACAGTACACTCTCAGCACACACACAGTCCACTCTCAGCAGACACACAGTACACTCTCAGCACACAAACAGTACACACTCAGCACACACAGTACACTCAGCACACACACAGTCCATTCTCAGCACACACACAGTACACTCTCAGTAGACACACACAGTACACTCTCAGCACACACACAGTACACAATCAGCACACACAGTACACTCAGCACACACAGTCCATTCTCAGCACACACACAGTACACTCTCAGCACACACAAAGTACACTCTCAGCACACACACACAGTACACTTAGCACACACAGTACACACTCAGCACACACACATTACACTCTCAGCTCGCACACAGTACACTCAGCACACACAGAACACACTCAGCACACACACAGTACACACTCGGCACACACAGACAGTCTCCTCTCAGCACACACACACAGGACACTCTCAGCACACACACACAGTACACACTCAGCACACACACAGTACACTCAGCACACAAACACAGTCCACTCTCAGCACACACACACACAAAGTACACACTAAGCACACACACAGTACACTCAGCACACACACACGCAGTACACTCTCAGCACACACACACAGAACACACTCAGCACATACAAAGTACACTCTCAGCACACACACAGTACACTCTCAGCACACACACACAGTACACTCTCAGCACACACACAGTAAACACTCAGCACACACACACACATTACACTCTCAGCACCCACACAGTACACTCAGCACACACACAGTACACTCAGCACACAAACACAGTCCACTCTCAGCACACACACACACAGTACACTCTCAGCACACACACAGTACACTCTCAGCACACACAAACAGTACACTCAGCACACACACAGTCCACTCTCAGCACACACACACACAGTACACACTCAGCACACACACACAGTACACTCAGCACACACACACAGTACACACTCAGCACACACACAGTACACTCTCAGCACACGCACACAGTACACTCTCAGCACACACACAGTACAATCTCAGCACACACAGTCTACTCTCAGCACACACACACAGTACCCTCAGCACACACACACACAGAGTACACACTCAGCACACAAACACAGTACACTCTCAGCACACACAGTACACACTCAGCACACACAGTACACTCAGCACACACACAGTCCATTCTCAGCACACACACACAGTACACACTCAGCACACACACAGTACACACTCAGCACACACACAGTACACACTCAGCACACACAGTCTACTCTCAGCACACACACACAGTACCCTCAGCACACACATACACAGAGTACACACTCAGCACACAAACACAGTACACTCTCAGCACACACAGTACACACTCAGCACACACACACAGGACACTCTCAGCACACACACAGTACACTCTCAGCACACACACACAGTACACTCAGCACACACAGAACACACTCAGCACACACAAACAGTACACACTCAGCACACACACAGTACACTCAGCACACACACAGTACACTCTCAGCACACACACACACAGTCTACTCTCAGCACACACACAGTACACACTCAGCACATACACAATACACTCAGCACAAACACAGTACACTCTCAGTACACACACACAGCAGTACACACACACAGCAGTACACACACACAGCAGTACACACACAGCAGTACACACACACACAGCAGTACACTCACACACAGCAGTAAACTCACACAGCAGTACACACACACAGCAGTACACTCACACACAGCAGTACACTCACACAGCAGCAGTACACACACACACAGCAGTACACTCACACAGCAGTACACACACACTGCAGTACACACACAGCAGCAGTACTCACACACAGCAGTACACACACACAGCAGTACACACACACAGCAGCGCACACACAGCAGTACACACACAGCAGTACACACACACAGCAGTACACACAGCAGTACACACACAGCAGTACACTCACACACAGCAGTACACACACACACAGCAGTACACCCACACACAGCAGTACACTCACACAGCAGTACACACACACAGCAGTACACACACACAGCAGCAGTACACACACACAGCAGTACACACACACAGCAGTACACACACACCCAGCAGCACACACACACAGCAGTACACACACACAGAAGTACACACACACACACACAGCAGTACACACACACACAGCAGCACACACACGGCAGTACACACACAGCAGTACACACACAGCAGTACACACACACAGCAGTACTCACACACACAGCAGCACACACACACAGCAGTACACACACACAGCAGTACACTCACACAGCAGCACACACACAGACCACTCTCAGCACACACACAGTACACACTCAGCACACACACAGTACACACTCAGCACACACACAGTACACTCTCAGCACACACACAGTACAATCTCACCACACACACAGTACACTCTCAGCACACACAGTCTATTCTCAGCACACACACACAGTACACACTCAGAACAAACACACAGTACACACTCAGCACACACACAGTACACACTCAGCAGACTCACACAGTACACTCTCAGCACACACACAGTACACTCTCAGCACACACACACAGTACACACTCAGCACACACACACAGTACACACTCAGAACACACACAGTACACACTCAGCAGACTCACACAGTACACTCTCAGCAGTAGTACACGCAGAGTACACACAGTAGTACACACAGAGTACACACAGTAGTACTCTGTGTGCACTCTGTGTGTACTCTGCGTGTACTATGTGTGTACTCTGTGTGTACTGTGTGTGTTCTCTGCGTGTACTCTGCGTGTACTGCTGCGTGTACTTTGTGTGTACTCTGTGTATACTGTGTGTACTCTGCGTGTACTCTGCGTGTACTACTGTGTGTACTCTGTGTACTCTGTGTGTACTACTGTGTGTACTATGTGTGTACTCTGCGTGTACTCTGTGTGTACTACTGTGTGTACTACTGTGTGTACTCTGTGTGTACTCTGTGCGCACTACTACGTGTACTCTATGTGTACTACTGCGTGTGCTCTATGTGAACTCTGTGTGTACTCTGCGTGTTCTACTGCGTGCATACTGTGTGTACTCTCTGGGTACTACTGTGTGTACTCTGTGTGTACTCTGCGTGTACTCTGTTTGTACTACTGCGTGTACTCTGTGTGTACTCTGCGTGTACTCTGTGTGTACTCTGTTTGTATTCTGTGTGTACCCCGTGTGTACTCTGTGTGTACTCTGTGTGTACTACTGTGTGTACTATGTGTGTAATCTGCGTGTACTCTGTGTGTACTACTGTGTGTACTCTGTGTGTACTCTGTGTGTAATCTGCGTGTACTACTGTGTGTACTACTGTGTGTACTACTGTGTGTACTCTGTGTGTACTACTGTGTGTACTTTGTTTGTACTCTTTGTGTACTACTGCGTGTTCTACTGCGTGTACTCTGTGTGTATTCTGTGTGTACTGTGTTTACTCTGTGTGTACTCTGTGTGTACTCTGCGTGTACTACTGTGTGTACTCTGCGTGTACTCTGTGTGTACTACTGCGTGTTCTACTGCGTGTACTCTGTGTGTACTCTGCGTGTACTACTGTGTGTACTCTGCGTGTACTCTGTGTGTACGCCTGCGTGTTCTACTGCGTGTACTCTGTGTGTACTCAGCGTGTACTCTGTGTGTACTACTGCGTGTACTCTGTGTGTACTCTGCGTGTACTCTGTGTGTACTCTGCGTGTTCTACTGCGTGTACTCTGTGTGTACTCTGTGTGTACTCTGTGTGTACTCTGTCTGTACTACTGTTTGTACTCTGTGTGTACACTGCGTGTACTCTGTGTGTACTTTGTGTGTAATCTGCGTGTACTACTGTGTGTACTACAGCGTATACTCTGTGTGTACTCTGCGTGTACTCTGCGTGTACTCTGTGTGTACTACTGTGTGTACTATGTGTGTACTCTGCGTGTACTCTGTGTGTACTCTGTGTACTCTGCGTGTTCTACTGTGTGTACTCTGTGTACTCTGCGTGTACTGTGTGTACTCTGTGTACTCTGCGTATTCTACTGTGTGTACTCTGTGTACTCTGCGTGTACTCTGCGTGTACCATCACGGGAGGCCCTGTTCCTCAGCGCCACCACCACGAGTATCCCCGCTGCCGCCAGGGCCCCCAGGAGGCAGAGCGCGCGAGGCGGCGGCATCGGGGGGTCGGCCCAGGGGGGCATGGGGCCCACCCGGGGGGGCGAGGGGGCCCCCCGGGGGCGCGGGCGCGGGGGGGCCCCGTCAGGGGGTCCCTCCGGGGCCCTGCCCCTCCGTTATCCAGACGTCGCCTCCCGCTCGCTCCCGCGTCTCCATTCAGCCTCGCCTCGCCCCTCGACTCTCCCCACGAACCTCTCCGCGGCTCTCCTCGCGTCCACTCTCGGCGACTCTCCCTGCTGAGTCTCCGTTTGCCGCCTTCCGATCGCTCTTCACGGCCGCGTCGACTGCGCGACTTATGCGGCAGCTAGCATGGCGAGGAGAGGCGAAGTCTCTTCACATTGAGTGGCGGCGGTGAGGAGTTCCGCTCTCAGTCTCTCTCTCCTCGCAGCCGTCTTCTGCTTTGATTCCACTCCCCAAAGAATCTCACCACACGACACTCACCACACGATACTCACTCCCCTAGAACTCACCACACGACACTCACTCACCACACGACACTCACTCACCACACGACACTCACTCACCACACGAGACTCACCACACGACACTCACTCACCACACGACACTCACCACACGATACTCACTCCCCTAGAACTCACCACACGACACTCACTCACCACACGACACTCACTCACTCACCACACGATACTCACTCCCCTAGAACTCACCACACGACACTCACTCACTCACCACACGACACTCACTCACCACACGACACTCACCACGCGATACTCACTCCCCTAGAACTCACCACACGACACTCACTCACCACAGACCACACTCACCACACGACACTCACTCACCACACGACACTCACTCACCACACGAGACTCACTCACCACACGACACTCACTCACCACACGACACTCACTCACCACACGAGACTCACTCACCACAGACCTCACTCACCACACGACACTCACTCACCACACGAGACTCACTCACTCACCACACGAGACTCACTCACTCACCACACGAGACTCACTCACTCACCACACGAGACTCACTCACTCACCACACGAGACTCACTCACTCACCACACGAGACTCACTCACCACACGAGACTCACTCACTCACCACACGAGAGTCACTCACCACACGAGACTCACTCACTCACCACACGAGACTCACTCACCACAAGACACTCACTCACCACACGAGACTCACTCACCACACGAGACTCACTCACCACACGACACTCACTCACCACACAAGACTCACTCACCACAGACCTCACTCACCACACGACACTCACTCACCACACGAGAGTCACTCACCACACGAGACTCACTCACTCACCACACGAGACTCACTCACCACACGACACTCACTCACCACACGAGACTCACTCACCACACGAGACTCACTCACCACACGACACTCACTCACCACACGACACTCACTCACTCACCACACGACACTCACTCACCACACGACACTCACTCACCACACGACACTCACTCACCACACGAGACTCACTCACCACAGACCTCACTCACCACAGACCTCACTCACCACAGACCTCACTCACCACACGACACTCACTCACCACACGACACTCACTCACCACAGACCTCACTCACCACAGACCTCACTCACCACACGACACTCACTCACCACACGACACTCACTCACCACACGAGACTCACTCACCACAGACCTCACTCCTCCAGAACTCACTTTCAATACACTCAGCACAACCGCGCTACACACACGGACAGACACCACAGGCGAGACACACCACACACTCTACCCGACACACAAATATCACACACACACACCACACACACTACCCTCTACACACACACACACCACACACACTACCCTCTACACACATAACACAGTTCGCAACGGAAGAACCATACACCACACGTCCCACACACACACACACACCCTACCTCCTACACACACCATACATCACACACACACACACTGCACACACACCCTACCCCCTACACACACCACACACACACTGCACACACTGCACACACACACCACACACACACCACACACACACCACACACACCACACACACACTGCACACACACTGCACACACTGCACACACACACCACACACACACCACACACACCACACACACACTGCACACACACACACTGCACACACACACCACACACACACACCACACACACACTGCACACACACACCACACACACACCACACACACACACCACACACACACTGCACACACACACCACACACACACCACACACACACACCACACACACACTGCACACACACACCACACAACGCACGCACGCTACACCGCCCACACACCCTACCCTCGCCACACCGCGCACTGACCGAGCCCCGAGTCCACGAGCCGAGCGTGAGAGGTCTCTCGTCTCTCTTCGCCCTCTCTCTCTCTCTCGTCTATCTCGTCTCTCTCTTCTCTCTCTCGTCTCTCGCGCGCGCGCGTCCACCGCGCCGTCTCTGCAGTGGGCGCGACTCCCCCCTCCCCTCGGCTCCCCCCGCCTCACGTCTTCTCGGGACGCCCCCCCCCCGCTCCACCTCCCCCCAACCACCACCCCCACGTGGTTGTCGTGTCTGCTGAGAGCGGCGCCTCCCCCTGCCTCCTTCTCCCTCCCCCCTCCTCCTTCCTCCTCCTCCTCCCTCCTCCCTCCTCCTCCCTCCTCCCCCCTCCTCCTTCTCCCTCCCTCCTCCCTCCTCCTCCCTCCCTCTTCCCCCCTCCTCCTTCTCCCTCCCTCCCTCCTCCCCCCTCCTCCTTCTCCCTCCCTCCCCTCCTCCTCCGTCTCCTCCTCCCCCCTCCTCCCCTATCCCTCCTGCGTCTCCCTCCTCCGTCCCATTCCTCGCACCCCCCCCCGCCTCCTTTCTCCTCCCTCCTTCAACCCCTCCCCACCCCCGCCTCCCCCCTTGGGAGGGAGAGGCGGGGATGGGGGGGGAGGAAGGGGGAGGTGGAGGAGGCGGGGTGAGGTGACCGCCTCCACCTGCGCGCTGCAGATGAGGAACGTGAGTGAGTTGGCGCGTGGTGTGTGTCGTGTGTTACTGTGGTGTGTGGGGTGTGTTTGTGTGTGTGGTGTGCGTGCTGGGTTTGTTCAGTGTGAGTCTGTGTCGTGTGAGTGTGTGGTGTGTGTTGTGTGTGTGTGTTACGGTGGTGTGGTGAGTCTGAGTGTGCTGTGTGTCGTGTTACCGGAGCGTGGTGTGTATCGTGTGTGTGTTACGGTGGTGTGGTGTGAGTGTGGTGTGTATCGTGTGTGTGTTACGGTGGTGTGGTGTGAGTGTGGTGTGTATCGTGTGTGTGTTAGGGTGGTGTGGTGTGAGTGTGGTGTGTATCGTGTGTGTGTTAGGGTGGTGTGGTGTGAGTGTGGTGTGTATCGTGTGTGTGTGTTACGGTGGTGTGGTGTGAGTGTGGTGTGTATCGTGTGTGTGTTACGGTGGTGTGGTGTGAGTGTGGTGTGTATCGTGTGTGTGTTACGGTGGTGTGGTGTGAGTGTGGTGTGTATCGTGTGTGTGTTAGGGTGGTGTGGTGTGAGTGTGGTGTGTATCGTGTGTGTGTTACGGTGGTGTGGTGTGAGTGTGGTGTGTATCGTGTGTGTGTTACGGTGGTGTGGTGTGAGTGTGGTGTGTATCGTGTGTGTGTTACGGTGGTGTGGTGTGAGTGTGGTGTGTATCGTGTGTGTGTTAGGGTGGTGTGGTGTGAGTGTGGTGTGTATCGTGTGTGTGTTACGGTGGCGTGGTGTGTGTGCAATGTGTGTGAATATGTTCGTGTGGAGTGTGTGGGTTGTGTGTGGTGTTTGTTAGTGTGGTGTATGAGCGGTGTGTCACCATAGTGTGTATGGTGTGTATGTGGAGTATCATAATAATTTCATTGTGTAGGTGCGTTGTGTAAACATTACCACTGGGGAGACAAAGGCGGCCGGGCGTGGTCACAGCCACACCACCCTTTCGTGTGCCGTTCCGGCCTTCGCTAGCAGCACTTGCCCCAAAAGTGTGCTAAGACTACACGGAGGATCTTTGCCTTTGTTTATCTGTGTGTGTGTGTGCCTGTGTGTCTATATTCGTATGTGTTGGGGCGTTTATTTTGCCGCTATGGGTGTGTGTATGGGGAGCGGTCGTGCAGCGGTTAGCGCACTGCGCTACCAACCCGGCAACCTGAGTTAAATTCCCGCTCACGACCAATAACAGTAGCGAAAATTTGTACTCGCCCTGAGTCTCCTCAAGGTCGACTCAGCCTTTTAATTAGTACCTGGCGCAGTCTATAAACGTCAATCAAGAGACAAAGGCGGCCGGGCGTCGTTCTGATCACACCACCCCCTCGTGCGCAGCGTCTGCCTTCACCGGTGCTGCTCACCAGCAGCACTTGCCCCAACAGTCGGTGTGGCCTACACGGGGGATCTTTGTCTTTGTGATTAGCACCAAGGACAGCGCCCGTGACATCCACACTCGTGTGTTGGGCGAGTGTGCGGAGTCATCGATTACGCAGAATCGATCCGTGTGGTGTTGGCGAGTGAGAATTCATCGCTCCGTGCGGCGTGTGGTGAGAGATTCGGATCGCGTCGCTCGCCTCTTGAGTGGACCGGGGTCAGGTTTGACTCTGGTCCCGCGGCAGAGACCCTTGGAGAAGGTTTGGTGTCTGGGCGAGACAGACGAGATGGTGGTGGTAAGCGTTGTTCGCTGTGGTTGTGGTTGTTCGCTGTTGGCTGTGTTTTTTGCGGTTAGCTGTGGTTGTGTGGGTAAGCCGTGGTGGTTGCGGTTGTAGTGGTGGTTATTTGTGGTGATTGGCTGTGGTTGTGGTGGTTAGCTCTGGTGGTTAGCCGAGGTGGTTGTGGTTATATGTGCTTGTTGTGGGTAGCTTTGGTTGCGGTGGTTTAGCTGCGGTGGCTGACGTAGTGGTTTGTGGTTATGTCTGGCTGCGGTGGGTAGCTGTGGTTGGCTGGAGAGCTGTGATCGCTGGGACATATGTTCACACTCACTCACACAGTGCGCGGGGAGGACGGGAAGAGGCAGGGGGGGAGGGGGTATAATGTGCGATCGGGGGGGGCATCACTGATTGTGTTTGTCAATTGTGGGGGGGGGGGGGTGGAGGGGGGGTTGAGGTGGGCACTAATAATGAGGTGGGGAGGGGATGCAGGTGGCGCTGTGACATCTGGCGGCCCCTCCCCCCGGACCCCCACCCCACCCCGTTCCCTCTGAGTCCGGCTCGATCATTAACTCGGATAAAAGATAGTTTTTGTAGCCAAATCTATTCGGGTTAAACACCGCGAGGAATCACAACCACCATCTGCTGCTCGCACACGTGGACACGCGTGTGTGTGTGTACACGTGTGTGTACACGTGTGTACGCTTGTGTATGTACACGTGTGTGTGTGTGTCTGTACACACATGGGTGTGTACAGACACACACACACGTGGACACGCGTGTGTGTGTACACGTGTGTGTGTGTGTACACGTGTGTACGCTTGTGTATGTACACGTGTGTGTGTGTGTCTGTACACACCTGGGTGTGTGTGTGGACAACGTGCGCGTGTGTATGCACCTTTGTGTACATGAATCTGTGTGTACACACG